CCATAATAACACCAAGAAACAAGCTTGATTTTATTTCTCCAGGCTGGCCTACATATTGGCCCACAGATCCAAAGAAGCAACCCGACTTAATAGATTTTGCTGTTACAAGAAGAGTGCCACAGGCCTAGATTCGTGTGGAGCACTTATCAGACCTATCATCGGATCACTCGCCGATCCTTCTGCACTTTTGTGACCATCCACAGTTATTGGAACGCCCACATTTTCTAACTTCTAGAAAAACAGATTGGCTTAAATACAGGAAGTACGTAAGTTCCCATATTGATGACTGCCCTAGCATTTATTGTAAAAATGACATAGATACCTCAGTTGAAGCATTAGTGTCTGTAATGTCACTGGCGGCAAAACATTCGACTCCAATAACTACAGCTAATAAACTTCACAAATGCAGACGTGTCCCCAGTCACGTTGAAGAGCTGCTTCGCAATAAGAAAAAACTTCGGCGGGAGTGGCAAGCCCAAAGATCACCTGAATCGAAGGAGCGGCTAAAAATAGCCAACCATCTACTACGCAAAGCCCTAGAAGATGAAAAACACCGAGCTCAAATTGATTATATGGAGCAACTCTCCCCAAACAGCAAACGATTCCCATTGTGGAAAGCTAAATCAGGCGTATGTCCACCAATCGAAAGTGAATCACCATTACGTACACAAAGAGGAAAGTGGGCTCGCAGCAACAAAGAGAAGGCAAATGTATTTGCCGCCCATTTAGAAAAAGCCTTCAAACCACATCCAAATAGCTTTGTGCTTCCACCAACCAATTATCTTGAATCGTATTTCAAGTTGGAGAAGTTACAAGTGTCATTAAGGACCAAGTTTCAAAGCAAAAAAAAAACGCCGGGCCACGATTTAATTTCCCCCAAAATGATCATCGAATTGCCGAGCTGTGCAGTATATCTTCTCACCATTATTTTCAACAGCATGATGAAATGGGGCTATTTTCCTCAACAATGCTGGAAAGGACAAGTCTCAGCCATCATCATATAGACCTATCAGTCTCCTGCCGTGTCTATCAAAGATATTCGAAAAACTGATCCTGATTCGCATCAAACAGCACCTACACACCAACAGTGCAATCCCATTGCACCAATTTGGTTTTCGCGAAAAACATGGAACCGTTGAACAAGTCAACCGAATAACCTCTGAGATACGAAATGCATTTGAAAAACGAGAGTATTGCTCCGCTGTTTTTCTGGATGTCGCCCAAGCCTTCGACCGCGTTTGGCTGGATGGCTTAATTCACAAAATCAAAATATTACTTCCACAGAACATCCACAAAATACTGGAGTCATACCTACAGCAAAGAAGTTTCGCAGTTAGATGCAAAGATTTCCTCTCCGAATACCATCCAATTGAAGCTGGCGTACCCCAAGGGAGCGTGCTTGGACAAACACTGTATATTATATACACAGCAGATATACCGACAAACAGTCGTACAACAATTTCGACATTTGCTGATGATACTGCCATCCTAAGTCGCTCCAAGTGCCCAAAAAGAGCTACAGAACTTTTATCATCTCACCTCGTGGCCATACAAGAATGGCTAGCAGACTGGCGCATACATGTTAACGAGCAAAAGTGCAAACATGTCACCTTTACCCTAAACAAACAAACCTGCCCTCCATTGTCGCTAAACAACATCAATATTCCACAAGAAACCGAAGTATCATACCTTGGTGTCCATTTGGATAGACGGCTTACTTGGCGTGAGCACATCAAAAAGAAGAGAGATCAACTGAAACTAAAACTAAAACAAGTAAAAAAGCTAAAGTCGGGTGTCCCGACTTTGAAATACTCTGTACATATGTTTACAATAATTATAGAAAATAAAAAAAAAAATAAATAAAAAAAAAATTGGATGATTTTACCTCTCTCGGTATTCGAACTCACGTAAAGGGTGTATAATTGCACATTTACATAGCAATTGCGTCTGTGTGAGTGTATGTATGCCTATGCGCATCAATTCGTGTCTGTGTAAGCATTTTCGCAGTCAACCAAACAGCAACATCAACAACAGCCGCGGGCAGCGCTTGAGCAGCGCTGCAGCAGCAAATATATTTATGGCTATAACTTCTTGGTAAATCGGTCTATCATAGTGAAACTTGGCATACGGACACATAATTACTAACTGCGGGTATTTGCAAAATTTTAGTTCGAAATTCCAAGAATTACGGGAGTTAGAGAAAATCGCATTTGCGGGGGAGAGGGAGGAGGGAGGGAAATTCCAAAATATACATTTTCTGCGTATTCACACAAGGCATCTTGGACTAAAATTTGGTGTGTCTAGGTCTTATAGTCTCCGAGATATAGGCGATTATACGAATGGAAAATCGGGAAAACCCCCATAGGGGGGAAGTGGGGGGGAAAATCAAAAAAATAAAACAAACTCGTATAGAATACACACATAACGCATCTTCGTGCAAAATTTGGTGTCTCTATCTCTTATAGTCTCTGAGATCCAGGTGTTCATACGGACGGACAGACGGACAGACAGACAGACAGGGCTAGATCGACTCGTCTTGTCACGCTGATCAATAATATATATACTTTGTGGGGTCTGCCACGCCTCCTTCTGCCTGTTACATTTTTCAGCTCCCGCAAACCTAATATACTCTTGTACATTTCATGTACAGAGTATAACTATGGGGAAACGCTTCCATTAGTAATTTAGAGTTAATCGAGAGAGCTCAATTGAGGATACTGAGAACCATCACTGGGGCGCCCAGGTAGATAAGAAGTGATAATATCCGCGAAGATTTAATTGTGGGATCTGTTAAAGATGAAATCGCCAAGGTGAAAGCAAAGTACCAGCTTAAGCTTCGGAACCATCCGAACAGACTTGCACAGAACTTAACTTGTCAGGCTAGCCATACACGACTCCGGCGAAGAGACCTCCCCACCCAGCACTAACAGTTAGGGCCGTAAAAAAAAAAATATTTAATTGTAATTAATTAAATAACTGTATTAGATTAAGATTTTACTACTTATCGTAAGTCTCCTAGAGAGAAGATCCGATAAATAAAGAAAGCTTAAACAAAAAAAAATAATAATTATTAGCATCTGAGAATGGAACAATAGAATCCTTGACGATATCAAAGTCACCTGCGGAGTTATCGAGTGGACATAAGTTCAGCCAGCATTTGTTTCTTCTGAGCTACACGAATTGCGGCGTCAATCAACTCTTCTTTTTCTTTCATGGCCGCCATTTTTGAGACTCCCGCGGCCAATTCTGACGACACAACCAATTTGCGCGTCTCTCCTATCAATGTATTAGAGTTTTCATTCTCTGCAATTTCACAAACATTTGGGCAATTGTTGTCAATAGCAAACCTCTGCAATTGTCGTAAGCTTGCACCATGAGGAAAATTTATGTTCTTGTTAGACAACCACTCAATTATTTGTTCTTTGTCCATTATAAAGTTATTGCGGCCATTGCATCAGCCAATTGTAAGTGTAAAAATTTGTATTTGTTCAGGATAAAAAAAAAATCGGTGTATTTGGCGTGTAATCCCACTTCTGATGTTGTTGGATTAATTCAGTTTATTTAAATTAACGATGTTACTTATGTTTATTGCAAATAACAATCTTTTACAAAATCCGTTTAATTCAAATTTCACTCAGCGTCCTTCTACTTTGGCTGGTCAATATCAATTGACCTCTTACAAGGTGCAATTCAAAAGCTCCAGGACTTTTAGTAAAAATCGAAAACTATTTTTTTTGTTTTGGAAAAATTTATTGGTCGCCTTCAAAATAGTCTCCTTCCGCCTGAATACAACGTTTTGCACGTTCAAGAAGGTGATCGAACGACTTTTTTAGGTCATTTGTCGGTATAGCGTTGAGGATGGCGGTCGCCGCCTGTTGGATGGCATCAACGTCAGCATAGCGGTTTCCTTTCATGGCCAAATGTAGTTTTCCGAAAAGGTAGAAGTCGCACGGTGCCATATCAGGTGAATACGGCGAGTGGTTAATGGTTAAAATGTGATTTTTGGTCAATTAACGGTCACAATCGGTTTTTTTTTTTGAGCAATTTTTGGTCGTCAGTCAATTTGTGCGGAACAAACCGTGCACACACCTTTCGTAAGCCCAAATGTTCGGTCAAAATGCGATAAATCGATGTTTTGGAGATGTTCAATTCCATTTCCATCAATTTCAATGATGATTTCGGCTGATTTTTGATGAATTCACGCACTGTTTTGATGGCAATTTTGGTGATAACGAATTTTGATTGGCCCACATGTTGATCGTCATTTATGTCCTCACGACCACTTTGAAAACGTTGAAACCACTCGTGCACTCTGCTACGGGATAGGCAATCATCGCCATAAACTTGTTTCATCAATTTCGGTAAAAGTTTTTACCAATTTTAAAACAAAATTGAATGTTGGCTCTTTTTTTCGAAGCTCATTTTCCGACCGATAACACAAACATACTGACACTTAAAACGCAATAACTTCACTTCACTTCGATGAAATGTCATAAAATTCTCACTGGACAATCGATAAAGATAGCAGATTCTAACGCACCAGTGGACATATAGATAGCGCCACCAGGGGGCGCTAGATTAACAAAGTCCTGTTTCCTTTGAATTGCACCTTGTACTTCCCTGTTATTCGTTATTATCGATTATCGATTACTTATTACTACTTCGCTATTCAATCACTATTCGGTCACTACTTAATAATTGTTAGTAATTAGGGGTGTTCTCTATTACCATTTCCTACAATATATATATATATATATATATATATATATATATATATATATATATATATATATATATATATATATATATATATTGTTACGACTACGCTTTTCCTCTTGGGCAACGCCGGCTGGCTCATCGGAATTCTCCTTGGGTGTGTGGTTCCAACCCTATGCCCGCGTGAGTCGTACAATAACCGATAACACGGTTCCTCCATCGATTTTAACCAAAATGCCGTCCCTTACAATAAATTCGAAGCGCAATAAGAAAACAAAATTCAAAAATGTAAACAAACCAAAAATAACTAACATGACACAAACGAAACACTAACGTAACAAAAAGGAAACGGATCTACACGGATACGGACTCAAAAAAAAAAACAAAAGGAACTACATCTGTATGTGCGGACGGACAGGAATTGGTGGCATCGGACAACTGTATGGGATTTACCTGTTGATATCCCAGGCGTACCCACCCTGCCTGTATCCAAAGACAAAATGTTTCTTGGATACCCTAAATTGGGCCGTGCTTGGGCTATTCCATGGCAAAGGTGAGTCTCCCGCCCCTACTGATGCTGCTTTAACGGGTCATTATAGACAATGCTTCCATAAAAAGAATTTTAAATTGCTTGGTTACATATGCATATATAGTACATTTTAATGCGAATAAACGTAAATATTAACAATTATTTGTGTACATGAATTTGGTGTAAAGATTATGACCGAAAATGCAATTATAAAACATAAAAAAAACAATACGACGAAGGCTTGCCAACAGCCAATACTAATAAGCAGTGAAGTCTATGAAAATAATCTGGATCTTATGTGTGTATATAAATTGCGAATGTATGTATATGTGCATGAACATTAGGGAGGGTGTTTGCATTATTTTATTTTTTTTATTGGCAGGCGGGTACGCGGAGCACGTTGGGCTGCTGCTTTGCTGTAGCAGCTTCTACCAATAAAACGACGCGTAGGACGACTGCCTGGCAGTTGCAGCTCAAAAAAAAAGGTAACCGGCGCGTGGCCAAGGAACGGACTCACCGCTGAAACTTCCTCCGCTGCTGATGGCGCAGACTGACGTCGTTGTTGCTGGCATTAGCGCTGCTACTGGCGTTGCTGGTGCTGTCGGTGCGGCCGTTTCTGGCAGCCGTTGTCTGCTCCCATGCTGCTGGATTTACCGCTGTTGCTGGATCTGCCGGGGGAGCTGCTGGCCGCGCTATTGCTGATAGTGGCCGCTGCTGTCGTTAAGGGTGGCACCCGCTGATGATGGTGCTGATGCTGCCAATGGTGCGCTGCTACCGCTGTTGATGGTGGTGTGCAGCTGGCACTGGCGTGGACTTTCGCTGCTGGTGCTGCTCTCTTTGGCGCGCTAGCGGACGCCTTTTCCTCTCGGTCAACTTGCCACTATGTCGTTGACCGGACGGCTCCCAACCAAAAAAACCTCGTGCTACGACTCCCCTTTTATAGGCCGGATGCCATGTGCCTCGGATTTTTTCCTCCTTTTTCCCTTTTCATCCGTTTCTTGTAGCCTCTCGTTTCCTTCTCTCTCGAGTACCATCGGACCGCAACTCTGCGCCTGTGCGACCGCAGTTGCCACCCCGGCTCCTCGCTAGGTACCGCTAGATGGCGCTCATGCGAAATTTAAAGTTTAGCGCCCTTATCCGATGCTGCCAATTCGAGCTTTTGTCCCCGACCGGCCCGATGCAACACCACCGCAAACACCCAAGTGGGCGGACACTCGCGCACCGAAGCGATGTTTGCGCGCATCCAACGGCTGGTGTTAGCCCGTTTTCCGTTCCGAGCCCGGCGTTGTCTTGCGTGACTCCTTTGCGGCGCCCAACGTAGGCCACACCTACTCTTAGTCTTCTGGTGAGTAGCTCCAGTTGCGTTCTCCTTTCTACGCCCATCAATTCTTTACTTCTTTCTATTCACGTATATACCAAAATGTCCCAAAAACTGAATCGTCGTGGCTAGCCTGTGCGCGTTATGATGTCGATGCCAGTGTTAGACGAATCTTCCTTGGACTCAGCGTTCTCTTCTCGCATCGTCAACTTGATTGATGTACTTGCCGGTCGCTACCAGGTGGACACTGAGCTTTCGCAAGGATGCGATGACGAGATCCTGACCATGTGTGGGAATAAGCGAGTGCATGGCGCGTACCTCCAATGGAGACGATGGACTAAAGAGATGGTGTATGACACCTCGATGCGTAGCCGTACAATCGTGCTCCACCGCAAACTGTCCCCACAATTATTTAATTTTCTAATATTTATTTATTTTTTTCTTTTTGTTATGAATTCCTTTCCAGACCCCGGGGACCTCCGAAATCAAATGTAAAATTCGATAAATATATACATACATATAATAAACAACCAAATCCTCAAAACAAAAACAAACACAAAATAGTGTTATATATATATATATATATATATATATATATATATATATAACAACAACAAAAATGGAAAATTGTATGGGCAAAACTATACGTAGATAATAAATAGATAATTACGCGAATAAATACGGCAATAAATGCAAAAAAAAAACGTTGAATTAATGCACACACAAAAAACGTTCAAACCCAAGAAAATGTAGCCATTCATGCAACGTAACAACTTATTAAAATGTAAACAAAAAAAAAGCATTTTTCTCTAAACATCTGTATATAGGGGCTGAGACTCACACTCAGCCGGAACCCAAACACGGCTCCTAATATTACTACGCCTTCTGCAGCAATCCTGCACTATTCGTTGCCTGCTACATTTATCGCCCTGACGGCGATGAAAGGCAGTCAACAAATTAAAAGGTTGTTTCATCACGATCAATTCCTCTCTGTCCACCATCTGCTCTAGCTCATCGTGCGTATCGGTGCATCGCAGGGGACTTTACTTGTCATCCTGGGCCACCGATACTCTATGTCCACCAGGCAAACACGATGAAACTACTGCGACAGTGCACCAGCGAATTGACGCAAGAAATACAAAAAAAAACCCACAAACTGTTTCCTTCTTGGAACTCCGGACCACTATGCCCACCATCTGCGCTAGCTCACCGTGCGTATCGGTGCATCGCAGGCGACTTTACTTGTCATCCTGGGCCACCGATAGTCTATGTCCACCAGGCAAACACGATTGCACTACCGCGACAGCCCAGTGACTTGACTCAAGAAACACAACAAAAACGAAAAGCACGAAACTCTCGCATTGGAATTCCCCTATAGCACACATTGCCCAGCGTCGTTCCAAATGGCAGTCGCAAACGAAGGGCCTACATCCGCACCTTCGTGACTTACTGTCCACGTCACACACGCTTGCAATTGGTGTTATACGGGATTCCGTCCCTAGCAAACCGATCAAGCGCACCCAGCCATCGGCTTCATTTATTTTTTTCCTATCTAAATTCTCAGCCTGCGTACGGCGGCTGCCTAGACTCCTCCCCAAAAGTGGTACAGGGCCCTAAACAACTCCACCTACTCCTTGGCATTAAAAATTCAAACATCCATTGGGCGCCATATTGTTACGACTACGCTTTTCTTCTTGGGCAACGCCGGCTGGCTCATCGGAATTCTCCTTGGGTGTGTGGTTCCAACCCTATGCCCGCGTGAGTCGTACAATAACCGATAACACGGTTCCTCCATCGATTTTAACCAAAATGCCGTCCCTTACAATAAATTCGACGCGCAATAACAAAACAAAATTCAAAAATGTAAACAAACCAAAAATAACTAACATGACACAAACGAAACACTAACGTAACAAAAAGGAAACGGATCTACACGGATACGGACTCAAAAAAAAAACAAAAGGAACTACATCTGTATGTGCGGACGGACAGGAATTGGTGGCATCGGACAACTGTATGGGATTTAGCTGTTGATATCCCAGGCGTACCCACCCTGCCTGTATCCAAAGACAAAATGTTTCTTGGATACCCTAAATTGGGCCGTGCTTGGGCTATTCCATGGCAAAGGTGAGTCTCCCGCCCCTACTGATGCTGCTTTAACGGGTCATTATAGACAATGCTTCCATAAAAAGAATTTTAAATTGCTTGGTTACATATGCATATATAGTACATTTTAATGCGAATAAACGTAAATATTAACAATTATTTGTGTACATGAATTTGGTGTAAAGATTATGACCGAAAATGCAATTATAAAACATAAAAAAAACAATACGACGAAGGCTTGCCAACAGCCAATACTAATAAGCAGTGAAGTCTATGAAAATAATCTGGATCTTATGTGTGTATATAAATTGCGAATGTATGTATATGTGCATGAACATTAGGGAGGGTGTTTGCATTATTTTATTTTTTTTATTGGCAGGCGGGTACGCGGAGCACGTTGGGCTGCTGCTTTGCTGTAGCAGCTTCTACCAATAAAACGACGCGTAGGACGACTGCCTGGCAGTTGCAGCTCAAAAAAAAAGGTAACCGGCGCGTGGCCAAGGAACGGACTCACCGCTGAAACTTCCTCCGCTGCTGATGGCGCAGACTGACGTCGTTGTTGCTGGCATTAGCGCTGCTACTGGCGTTGCTGGTGCTGTCGGTGCGGCCGTTTCTGGCAGCCGTTGTCTGCTCCCATGCTGCTGGATTTACCGCTGTTGCTGGATCTGCCGGGGGAGCTGCTGGCCGCGCTATTGCTGATAGTGGCCGCTGCTGTCGTTAAGGGTGGCACCCGCTGATGATGGTGCTGATGCTGCCAATGGTGCGCTGCTACCGCTGTTGATGGTGGTGTGCAGCTGGCACTGGCGTGGACTTTCGCTGCTGGTGCTGCTCTCTTTGGCGCGCTAGCGGACGCCTTTTCCTTTCGGTCAACTTGCCACTATGTCGTTGACCGGACGGCTCCCAACCAAAAAAACCTCGTGCTACGACTCCCCTTTTATAGGCCGGATGCCATGTGCCTCGGATTTTTTCCTCCTTTTTCCCTTTTCATCCGTTTCTTGTAGCCTCTCGTTTCCTTCTCTCTCGAGTACCATCGGACCGCAACTCTGCGCCTGTGCGACCGCAGTTGCCACCCCGGCTCCTCGCTCGGTACCGCTAGATGGCGCTCATGCGAAATGCAAGTTTAGCGCCCTTATCCGATGCTGCCAATTCGAGCTTTTGTCCCCGACCGGCCCGATGCAACAATATATATATATATATATATATATATCATTATTTGGAGTGCCAAGCTCTGTTGTGGTGAGATTTAAACTTTTATTTATATAGATATATTTTATTTGTATTTTTTTCTTTTTAGAAATTAGGGCGCAAAGGACTGCTGCCTATCTGTCTCAGCTCAAGTACAAATAACAGGAACGGCGCGTGGCCAAGGAACGGACTCACCGCTGGTATTTTACTTATGCGGTCGCAGCTGGAAGCGAATATGGCCGGCACTGTTTGCCTTTCTGCGCGGCTGCTCCTGCTGGTTATGCTGATTACGGCTCTGCGGGTACTCCGTTGCTGGAGCTGCTGTCAATGGTGATGCCGTGTCGGGGAAACAAAAAAACTTAGCACTCGGTTTGTACATTCGTATCTTTAACTTTTTTTTTTTTCATTATGCCTCATTTTAATCGCACTTCTTTCGTTTCCTTTTTCCGTCAGGAACGTCGCCTTAGAGCAGGGGAGCCATCGCTCTGTCCACAACAGAAGACCGCGCGAGCACCAGCCCTCTTTTATATACACCCCACATTCAAACATACCACAAAAAAGCATATACATACATACCATAGACCAAGCTCCCAGTAACACAGTCTAATAGCCACGTAACACAAAATACAATACATATGAAACAGAAAACTGTATTAAAATTACACCTTAAACAAACAATAGACAAACCACAAGTCATTCAACACCACTTTCCTGTACATACATTTAAACTGGCTACATGAAACGATTCCATTAACACAATTGTAACAAGAAACAAACATTTCTTGCAGCCAACTGCAATATACGCAATATATGTATAATTAAAAGCATTAGAAAAAATAATATTAAGATAAAAAGAATATAAAATGAAGTATTTTTTTGTAAAATCATAAATGTCTAACTTGGGGCGATGCACACTTCACAGCAACAAAAGCAGCAACAACACCACCACCTTCCTCAGGCGGCCACCAGTCGGCAGTATGAGTAGCTGTGTTAGTAAGAGAAAATATAATATAATATAATATAAATAATTATATTGCTAATCCTAGCTACCATAAGTAAAATTAATAAAACAACTTATTGAGTAGTTAAATTTTTTCAAAATATTTTATTTAAAATTATTTATAGTTTTTCTATATGTCATAAAATAATGCCGGTATAAAAGGTACGTTTGTTCCTTTTCAACTGTTTCAAAATCGTGTCTAACTATTACTGCTAGCTTGACGCACATGTAAACACTAATATCTGACGCATCTAAACATTTTTGGAAATATCAATTCATCTTGTTAAGAATATCGTGCTTTCGAGACGTATCGCTAATTTCGTACATCTCTAAACTTTGTTTTTATAGGTTCTTATATGCATACTTATATGTATATGTTTATGTACATAAATTAAATGTATTATATTTAAAGGCAGCTAATTGTTAATGCTCTTTACAAAAACAGCGCGATTTACATGAGTAGTAGGAAAAGGACAAAGTAATATTAAACAACCTATTGTTAAAAACAAAGCGTACAATTCGAGTGATAAAAGTTTAGGTAAGCATGAGTATGCGTTTGGGAGCAATTTTCAAATGTTCTATACTCTAAAAAACATCCATATATGCATTAGTTATATTATTGACACTACTATTCGTTTGTTGTTTTATTGCAGCATCCCTAAATATGTCTTGGTTTAACCTTTGGGACGGTTTAAAAACAAAGACTTGCAGATATTTGCTTCAAAGGTATTTAGGACAGTTCTTTGAAAATAATCTCAACTTGGAACAATTAAAGGTGGATCTTTATAACGGAAAAGCAGTAGTCGAAAATGTTTCACTTAAACTGAATGTAAGTGGAAAACAATTACTTAAATTTTCTTATTATTAAAAAAAATACACGTCAATATGGATACTTTTGATAAAATATTAAATAAGTTGAGAAATGTAACGAAATTGTAATATTACAAATATATTTTTTTTCAATTATACCTTGAGTATTTGATTTCACGTAAAGGGTGTATAACTGCACATTTGCATAGGAATTGTGTCTATGTGCGTCTATTCGTGTCTATACTCGTATGTGGTTGTGCAAAGCAGCAACAATAACAGCTACAGGCAGCGCTTGGGCAGAGATTTATAGCTATAACTTTCTTTAAAATCGTCGTATCATTATGAAACTTGGTAATTCCAATGTCAAAATTGTTAATTGAATATCTAGCGTTTATGTGTCTGTATGTACATATGTAGTTTCATCATGATACTGTCAATTACGAAGAAAATTATAGCCATAAATATAATCTCTCCAAGCTCTGCCTGCAGCTGTTGTTGTTGCTACTTGTCACGCATAGAAACGATTCTGATGTAAATGTGTGCTGTTGATATGTATAGATGCATGTGTAGAATATTTTATATTTAATTGAGTTAATTAAATTTTTAAGAGTTGAGCCCGCTCAAGTCATATTGTATATGGAGTATATATGTATATTAGGTTTGCGGGAGATGAAAAATGTAACTGGCAGAAGGAGGCGTGACAAGACGGGTCCATATGCAAAAGTTAGAATAACCAGATTCTCCGAAAAAGAACAAGTTTTTATACTCTGTACATGAAATGTACAGGAGTATATTAGATTTGCGGGAGTTGAAAATTGTAACAGGCAGAAGGAGTCGTGGCAAACCCCACAAAGTATATATATTCTTGATCAGCATGACAAGACGAGTCGATCTAGCCCTGTCTGTCTGTCCGTCCGTATGAACACCTGGATCTTAGAGACTATACGAGCTATAGACACCAAATTTTGCACAAAGATGCGTTGTGTACGCTGTGCAAGTTTGTTTTTTTTTTTTTTGATTTTTCACCCCACTTCCCCCTATGGGGGTTTTCCCGATTTTCCATTCGTATAATCGCCTATATCTCGGAGACTATTAGACCTAGGGACACAACATTTTAGTCCAAGATGGCTTATGTGAATACGAAGAAAATTTATTTCGTGGAATTCCCGAGAAGAAGTTGTAGCCATAAATATATTTGCTGCCCAGCTGTTGTTGATGCTGGTGCTTTGGTTGACTGCAAACATGTTCACACAGCCACCAATGTAAGCGCATAGATATTTATACACTCATATAGACGCAATTGCTATGTATATGTGCAATTATACACCCTTTACGTGAGTTCGAATACCGAGAGATGAAAAATAGATCTTTTTTTTGTAATTTTTTTTAATTTCTATAACTATTCTAAACATATGTACAGAGTATTTCAAAATCGGGACACCCGACTTGTTTTCTAATGCCTCACTTCCCTGGTTTTAATGATTTTCCATAACTTTTGTAATTCTTGATATATTGTACTCAAAATTCGACAACCAGTTAACGCTTATCTGACATCATGTTAAGTTTCATCACGATATGCCAATTGTTACGAAAGTTATAGCCGTAAATGTAATCTTTTCCCAAGTTCTGCCCGCAGATGTTGTTGTTGCATTGTATATCCAGGTTCCCCGAAGCCCTAGGCAGCTCAAAGTTCAAGTTTTCTGATACAGCCCCCCGTTACATGCGGTTAGTGCGTATATGCCCTCATGTTAAGTTGAATCAGAAAGGGTCAAAGAGACTTATAGCCACTGCTGTTGTTGTTGCTGCAGCTGTTGTTGTTTCCGATTCGGCTTAACTCTGTACTGTCCATATAAGCGAACACATATTCATGCATTGCCACACATAGACAAAAACTATATGTAAATGTATTATATTGAAACGGTATGACCTTATCAGTGTGCACGTGTTACGAACCCTGGACCTTATGTACGTGTAATATTTGTATTATTTTATGAATATTATTTAATTAATTTATTTATTTTATTTATTTATTAACTTATCCTAGCGTTACAAGTACGAGATTACTTTTGAGTTATTACGCTAGTCATTACATATTCATTTCGATTTCATTCAGTTAATTGTTAATTTAATTACAGGTTTAATTTAGTTTAAATTGACATTTAATATTACAATTACATTTAAGAGTTTCACAATTTGCCTTAGCTTTAATTATTATTTCTTATTTTATATTAATAGTTTACTTAAATTAATAATTATTAAAGTTGTTTCTTTATGTGTGTTGAAGAGAATTTAGAAGTACTATTTCAAGTGTGCTTGAGTTTTAAGTCTAAAGTGCGTCTCGCTGGTAATTGTCTTCAGGTTATGTGGAAGATCGTTCCACAGCCGAACAGCGTATATAAAAAAGTGCCTTACCGAGCTGGCTAGTTTATATCTTATGCAGACTAAATTATTTGTTCTTCTCGACGTGGAGAAGGTGATTTTTTCGTATAAATAACTCGGTTCTCTGCGTGTTATAATTCTGTGCAAGAAAAGTAAAGTTCTCAGTTTTATCCAGGAGTTGAGGGTCAGATTGTATATCTTGTTGGCGTACGCCGTTATGGGTTGTCTACTTCTAATGTCAAAAATGAATCACGCTATACTATTAAAGGCTACTTTAATTTTATTCAGGCTTACAGCATCACAGTTCGTGAAGATTTCAATACCATAGAATAATGAAGGTGTCTAGTAAGTCTTAGCAATTAGGAGCTTGAGTTTAACTGGAAGGAAATGCTGCGTCAAAGACAGATGCCTTAGCGAACTATAAAGCTTTCCAACTGTTTTGTTTACATGATCATTCCAAGATAGTGTTTCGTTCATAGTTATCCCTAAGTATGTTACCCGCTCTACTTTCTTTTTGTATATCACTAAACTTTTTGACTTTTTCGGGTTTACTTCCAATCCATTAAACCTCGCCCATTTATGTATCTCACAAAGATCGTCATTACAGGCACTAACACATTCAACAATTCTACTTAAAGGACGACTCACATACATTTGGACATCATCTGCATACATATGTAACTCACAATTTGACACGCAACATGGAAGGTCATTTACATAGATGGAAAACAGAAATGGGCCTAGCACAGATCCCTGGGGGACTCCACGTTTAATTAACAAAAAAGACGAACAACAATCCGAAGTGACAACTGCTTGGTGGCGATTGGACAGATACGACTGGACTAAGTTTATTGCAGTGTCAGAGAAATTATATAGTCTTTTTAATTTAGTACATAGTATGGAATGATTTACGGTATCAAACGCTTTGGAGTAGTCAAGAAGGGTCAAGAAGGTTACTGTTGTCCATTTGCGTGCGAATGTCATCAATGATTTTTATTAAAGAGGTGGTACAGCTCCTATTCTTCCTAAAGCCCGATTGCTAGTTGTTCAAGAGTGAATTTCCTATCATATAGTTGGTCATTTGGTATGCCATTAGATGTTCTAGCGCTTTTGATAGGAAAGGCAAGATTAAATAGGAATAGGGATCATTTTTCCAAATTTCCACTTATTTGGGAAACAGGATGTTGTAAGAGCTGTATTAAAAATGTGGGTAATATATTTTAGAGTATTCGGAAGCAGCAACTTTAAAAATTTGGGATCTAACTCGTCTAGGCCTATAGCATTGGACTTCACTTTTAGGATTGAATCTAGGACATCACATTGACGTACACACATAAAGCTAAAACTAGTATCACAGTTTACTAACGATGTAGAGTTCAGGTACGCGTTTGCAATGGTTTCAGGTACTGCTAAGTGGACAAACTTATTGTTTAATTCATTTAAGGCAACGTCAGGACTTATAGAGGGTAAATTTTTTCCAACTCCTATCCTTTTAATTTCGGTCCAAACTTGTCTGGTTGAAGCGGCTGAATTGAATTCAGATGAGTAGTGGGCACGATTGGCATTGGTAATCTTCTGCCCAAATATACGCCTCAATTTTTATACTCTGTACATGAAATGTACAAGAGTATATTAGGTTTGCGCGAGCTGAAAAATGTAACAGGCAGAAGGAGGCGTGGTAGACCCCACAAAGTATATATATTCTTGATCAGCATGACAAGACGAGTCGATTTAGCTCTGTCTGTCTGTCTGTCCGTCTATCCGACTGTCCGTCCGTCCCTCCGTATGATCACCTAGATCTCAGAGACTATAAGAGCTAGAGACACCAAATTTTGCACAAAGATGCCTTATGTGTGTACGCTATACGAGTTTGTTTTATTTTTTTGATTTTCCCCCACTTCCCCCCTATGGGGGTTTTTCCCGATTTTCCATTTGTATAATCGCCTATATCTCGGAGACTATAAGACCTAGGAACACCAAAATTTTGGAAATACCCCCAGTTGGTTATTATGTGTCCGTGTGTCAAGTTTCACTATAGAGATAGACCGATTTAACAAGAAGTTATAGCCATAAATATATTTGCTGCTGCAGCGCTGCTCAAGCGCTGCCCACGGCTGTTGTTGATGTTGCTGTTTAGTTGACTGCGAAAATGCTTACACAGACATAAATAGACGCACATAAACATACATACAGGGAGAGTTACATGTAGAAGAGGGAGGAAAGGGAAACCCATCAACGCGAGCGAGCTTTAAAAGCTCATCTCTGCTTTGAATAAGCCGCGCACTCTCACTCTCCTTATGCTTCACATGCACCAATCCTCTACGTGTGAAGACAGCAATGACATGTTTTTGTTTCTTGAGTTTCATAGCTTCTTTAAATATATTCTCCCTAGTAAGCTGCTCATTTACATAAATGGGAGCCAGAGAGTCAAAGTCCAGCATTTGTAAATTTAGTGGTATTTTTTCGGTGCGACGGAAAGCTGCGACAGCCCTCAAAAACGTGGATTTTTCTTGCAAGTTATCAAAGCTAACAATTAAGTCCGGATCGACCGGTGATAGTTGCATTTTCCTCACACGGAAAATTTGCCGAGTCCTCGGCGGTGGTGTAACATTGATGGCGAAGCAGAGGGCATTGTAAAGT